TATATATATATATATATATATATATAGAGAGAGAGAGAGAGAGAGAAGTATTCTTCAATGTTTATACAAGTATAAACCTAGATTGCCCCCCAGTGGCACAGCGATATGTCTGCGGATTTACAACGCTAAAAACCGGGTTTCGATACCCGTGGTGGCCCATTGTGTAGCTTTGTGCTTAACTTCAATCAAAAACTTTTTGTAAACCTAGATTATTGCCTCGCAGCAAACTCTTCCACTTCTTTCGTTCGTTTTCTCACCCCAGACACAAAAACCGGAATGTTTCCCTACGAAGGTTAAAGATAACCTCTATCTTAAGCACGTGCTTGTTGTAATGTCTCCTCCATTGTGGCCAGACAGGGTGAAGCCTGGGTAGAGCGAGTTGGGGAGGCAATGCATGAAGGCTAGAAATAAGTTAAAACTAACTAATAATATAGCAACATTGTCAGGCACTACATATATGTATGTGTTTATAATATAAACACCAAACTTATATTTCACTGTTCTTAATTTTTTTTAAGTATTTTAGATTATTGTCAACAAGATATCTCTACGGATGTACAGTGATCAACATTTTTGTTTTTATGTATACAAATGTATTTTCTGAACAAACTACAAGTATCCTCATTTTGAAAAACTGGGTCGCCCTAACATCTCAATCTTATAATACACGAAGGCAATGTTAATATGTTTACGTTGTTCTACGTTCCTTTGTGTCTTAAGATGGCGCTCAATAAACAGATACAGGAATAGAGGTAAAAATATATTATCAAAACATCCCTAAATCAAATCTACCGAGAAAAATTACATGCAAAGAATATACTAAACACTTTTTGCAACCACCTCTAATAAACTCTAGATAATGAAATAAATCAATACTCTGTTTTCAACTACTTGTATATTAATATCTTCCACTTTGAAAAATAGTTAAGCCTAACTTATCACTCTTACAGATAAACCTAGAAATAAAGTTACCTGTGGTTTATATATATGTATGAAACTGCAGACTTGTATTGTTATAGGAGTATTTAGCCTATAACAGACAAAAGCAACGTTACATATAGCTGTAGTTACTGGTAATACTTCCATAATAAGGTAAATATTGAGTGAACTTATAGTCATCGCTACTTTAGTGTTGAAGTTGTATGATTTGTTGACAAAAATAAATCTCCAGGTTGGCAGTCTTTTGATGTAATATTTTGGTAATCTGCCTAACTTTAATTATCGCCGAAGTAATCGCTCTGACTATACTTGAACTTGAAATAAAACTAAATAAATAAGTGTATTTTAAGCAAAACTATACTACGACAATCAAAACCAATATCTAAACCAAAAACTATTTGTTAATTCTTTTAACACTGACCGGATTAAGCCTAGATTTTAATTTGGCTTGATTAGCTATTGCATTCTGTCTTCGTCCAACTTCAGTTTT